AAGTCACTTGAGTGCTTCTTTAAAAAACTCCATTATTTAAATTTGCATTTACACATTTATACATATATACATCTTGTCATCATTGAAGAATAGATGTGGATCAGGATAATTTTATTTAGAAAGCAGAAAAAAATAATTTCTGAACATTCTGATTTGCACATAATATTTATAACACTATGAGATTATGAAATTTTGTTGCCACGTTTTCTAATTACTTTGAACAGAGCTTCCTTCACTTCTCTGTTTCTCAAGCTATAGATAAGAGGGTTAAGCATGGGAGTCAGGACAGTATAGAATATAGAAAAGATTTTGTGTAGCTCTTTTAGTGTTTCCATTTCTGGAACTATATAGACAAGAAATATTGACCCATAGAAAAGTGTCACTACAATCAGATGGGATGAACATGTAGAAAAGGCTTTTTGTTGAGCTGTTTTAGAATTGATTTGCAAGACATTATGAAGAATACAGATATATGAGGCCACTGTTATGAGAAAGGGTGGCCCTGTCCCCATAATGCCTAAAATAAATGTAGCAAGTTTTACTAAGTGTGTATTGCTACATGAAATGTTTGCTACTGGATATATATCACAAAAGAAATGATCAATTTCATTGGGTCCACAGAAGGTAAGTTCCAGCAGAAAAGAGGTAATGATAGTGTTGGTCAAGAGGCCACTCATCCAAGATGTGAGGGCCAGTTGGAAGCAGAGCCTACCATTCATGAGAATGTTGTAATGTAGTGGTTTACATATTGCCACATATCTATCATAAGACATCATTGCTAAAAGGTAGCATTCAGTGGCTGCAAAAAATCCAAAGAAATAGTATTGTATGATGCATCCATAGACTGATATAGATTGATCTCCACTTATAAAACTAGCTAGCATCCTGGGCAGGATAGTTGAAATGTAACAGGTCTCTAAGCAAGACAAATTAACAAGGAAGAAATACATGGAGGTATGAAGATGCTGGTCAGTCACAACCAGTGAAACAATTAGAAGATTTCCAGCAATAGATAAAGAATAAACAGGAAGAAATAATATGAAGAGGATTATTCTCAGTTCAAGGCGATTGCCAAATCCCAGAAGGATAAATTCTGTAGTAGTTGATTGATTTTGTTCTTGTTGGTGAAAAGTAGAGTAATTCTGAAATAAAAATGAAAAATGATATTAATCTTGGTGGCCAAATCTCCATTCTTCCTTTTCTCCTTAACTCCAGGCTCTAATATTTTCTCTGAAAATGTTTTGAACGTTTAGTATATTATTCTCAGTTGTTTCCATTAAATAATGAAGATTGGATATCATATATCTGAATAGCCTAGAATTTATTTTAATTTATTTTTTAATAGATCCTCTTTTTACAAAGATACATTGGGAATTTTTTTTAGAGGCCTGCCAACCAGAATGAGTCAAGGAATTCAGGCAACAAATTGGCAAGTGCGGGTGATCATGTGTTTCACATTCTTTGGATTTTTTCAGCATGAGTTCTGCAAATATATTTTTGTGTTTTGCAGGAAATTTTTGTTCAGTTGAGGAGAGCATTTGTTTCTGCAAAATAAATAAATCATCAGAATTTCTCATCTATTTTCTTGAAAATTTTGAATTTAAAGAAGGCAACTTGGCTCAGAGTTAGTGACTATAACAAATAGAGTAGTGGGAGTACTATGCCTCCCTTCTTTCCCAAAGATTAGAACTATTCTTTGAAGACTAAGTTACTTTTAAAGTTAAACTGTAAGCTCAGCTTCAAATAAGAAAGTTCAATTCTCCTGTCACAATCAGCCTTATACTAAATGGAAATAATTAATTGTGAACCCTTTTACAATTTATACAACTGTACAACTGTATAGTTCTTAGTCATTAGCTTTATCTGGAAAGGTTTTTTTTCATAAATTAAATATTTATAGGGTCAGATATTTATGTGGCTGTTATTTAATGTGTTACAAAACAAGTTAGTTAAAACTTGTTCATTCCTCCCATTTTAAAACATTAACTTACATAATCAACAGTTCCAAAAATTGTAAAAGAATAAAATCACTTGCTACTTCTTTATTACACCTCTTTTCATCAACTATGAAAGCAACTGTTTCTTTTTCTCCTTCTATCCTCCAGCACACAAATAAAAATCTCACAAGGGACATTTCTTTGTACAAATTTGTTACCGTATAATCACAATTGCATATTTGAAACTGTTGATATAGATCCAGATTCTAGAATCCTAAAAGGTGAAAATTAGAGAAGGTTACATAGGGAGAGAAGGAGCTGGCTAAAACATAGATACCCCTTTCATCACTGATCCTTCTTCATTTAAAAAAAACAACACCTTTTCTTTATTCTACTTTTCTTTGAAGCACACCAATACTGAAATCTTGCTTGTTTCGTGTTCCATACACACTGAAATTAATCCCAGTCTATCCAATATCATTATCTTCACAGCTATTCACTGCCCTAAATAAATCAAACAACCCGCCCCCAATTTATATATTTTTGTTTATGGATTTGTAAAGAATTATGACAGATATCCTTTGGATTTTTATGAAATTGATGTGTTTGATCTTCTTTCAAAAGCTTCTTCCTAATGGTTTTTATTATGCATCAATCAATTTTATAAATTAAATTTGCTTCATTTAAGAATACATTTTCTTTTGCCCTTTTGCTGCCAATCAGTCTCATTAAAAGATTATTTTAAGATAAAGAGAAGAAGCATATATTAATTTTCTCTACAGAATTTGAAACATATATCCTTTTATGGCTGTTTCTCCTCAACAAACATGCACACACACACACATGCAACACATACATACATACATACAGACACACACACACACACCATCAGGTGTTTTATTATATAAAACAGATTTTATCCTCAGATTCTGATTCTATATCAGGCTCTATTTTTTCCCACTTTAACACAAAGCTAGATGTAGCATTGTCCTCAAGATGTGCAATTCTTTATTTTAAGGAAAAAAGAAAGGATTCTCATCAAATTTGGGACTTAGATGGAAAGTATCTTCTCTCCTTGATGTTCCTCTAGTCTAGAGCAATAGCTCTGCTTCTGACAATTTTGTATGATATGTAGAAGGGTACTGCATTACATACTCATCTGACCAGGTTCTAACTTCTAACTTTTTGCACCTGAATAACAATACTGCAATTTTCTATAAATATGTGCCAAATACTAAGTAATACAGGCTTATTAATTTATCATTAGAACACAAAATGCTATTTTAACCATTCCAAGTCTTCCAAAATTTGGGGAAGGAGAGATTTATCTTTCTAATTTTTGTCTTAAAACGGAAATGAATGAACTTATTTGTTTAGACTACTTCTTCACTTAAAAAGAAATCAAAATTTGACTTACATATTTAGAATTTGAGAAATCTCCTTATCATTACAGATTTCAAAAATTTTACAAGCTATCCTTAAGATAATAGCTTCATTTAAAAAAAAACCAATGTATTAAAAGTTCTGTTCTTAATTTGCATGTGAATTCAGGGAAGATATTTCATGAATTCCAGACTATTTTTGAGAAGTCTGAATTATGCCAGTGAGAAATATTACTTACTCTTTGTATAATTTTTCTCAACTCCATTTCTTTTGTAAATCCTTAAAATTACAAAGGTGTGGATGTTTGTTTTGTTAGTCAGTGACTGAAATAAAACAACTGTCTGTCTGCAGAAGGAATAATAAATATTCTATGAATTTATACCATTTAATAGTTGATTTTGTTTCTTTGCTTGTAGCATACTAATGTTATGTTCTGGATTTTTATTTTGCATGTTTTTACTTTACAATACCTAGGAAATCCACTTTTATAAAAGTTCATTAAAGTAAGTGATACATTTATTGAATTAAGTAAAACTGTTCACAGAGTACTTTTATTTACAAAGAATATGCTACTCTTCAGTTATGACAAAAATAATAGTTATATTTTATACAACTATTGTCTGTCTGCATGTTAACTTTCAATTAAATATTTATATCTCATAAAACTCAGATTATATAAATAAAATATATTCTGCTTTGAATACATAACACAGAATATGATGAACATGTAAAGATTTACCTCTGAACTGCTTAGATTCCTAGGTGGGATCTCGGTGATGTTCCATTCATGTTCCATCCCAAAGATATGTGTTTTGTATCTTTAAATCCAAATTTTTGTTTTAAATGGTCCTAAAATCTTTCTTAGTTTTCCTTTCATGCAGTATATGAACATACTTAATCATTCAATGATTATGCACACCTAATTCTCTAGATATATATTTGAAATTGCTTCAAAATAAAAGTCTATAATTTACTTTCTGTGTTAATTACCAAAAGCACAGCAGAATTTAGTTATCTTTGAGATCCAGATAGGGCAGAGAGTGAAAAAAAAATCTGGACCCTGGTATCTTATTCTCAATAGATAATTTTTGAATGAAGATTTTGGAAACAATAACTTCAACTATTCTACATCTGTGGCAATGATAAAACAATGTTTGCTCAACTTAAGTCCATGCTTAAGTTCTTTCTCATGCTGTAAATCAATCATTTGTATTTAATTACTTCAACACCGAAGTAACCAGTAAAAAACTAAAGGTTCTAAATGTTTGATATTGAAAAAACCTTCCACCTTCTAATAATTCAAAGCATATGAAATCAGTTACTCTAAATGAGTTAAAGAGAAATTTCTTTCATAATTAGGTTCTTATCTCCTGATAAATTAGTTGGGTACTAAAATGTCAGTTTGCAAGAAATTCTGGGAGTTCTGCCAAGCGTCTCAAACTATTTTTAGTCTATTGAAATTCCTGCAGTGGGAGATATTATAAATCAAGCAAGAGAAACAAAGCAATATTCAGTTAAGAAAAGTTGCATGTCTATTTATTAATATTATTATCATCGAAGTTATTTGCCAAACAACTTGCAGGTCAAATCAATTCTGACCTTATGTTAGGATGCTTTTAATTGGCTTTCCATATTGATTATCATTATTTCCTTAAGATATAAATTGAAATTCTCCTTCAGATTAACTTGACTGCTGGTGACTTCAAGTTAAATTTGACTTCTGATGACTTTATGGAGTTATCCACTTGGTGTTCTTGACAATAGTACAAAATTTATTTTGGATTGTCTTCTTTCAGGATGTTTCTTAAATGTCTAACGTTCACTGCATTTTTGGAATTGACTTTACTTTCTGAATTCAGATGGATCATCTATAATTTATAAATCACAATTCTTCATCTTGAAATATCAAATGAGAATTCTACCTTACCTTTGAAATAGTTTTTTATTCCTAGACAGGGAATGAAAACAAAACAAAATGGAAACAATCTGAAACAATCTGAAAACTATGAAATATTTCACCTAAATCAACATGACATATTAAACTGTACAGAAGTTTTTAGTCCAATATCCATTAATTTAAACTTGCCAATGGTTAGGAATTAAAGAGTTTCAACCCAACTTTAGAAGATGCTATGGAGATTTTCAAAATTCTGAGACACCAAATAATTTTATGGCTCTTTACTACTCTTGGTCTTTCTTATCACTATAGTTGCGTAATGGCAAACCTATGGCACATGTGCCACAGGTGACATGTGGAACCATATTTGCTGACACACAAGCCATCAACTCTGATGCACATGCACATGCCAGCCAGCTGATTTTCAGCCTTCCGGAGAGCCAGGAAAAGCCATTTTTCACCTTCCCAGGATTCAGGAAAGCCTCTAGAGCCTGGGAAGACCCAATGGGCCAACTGGAAGTTCAGGAATGATCCATTTCTGGTTTCCGGAGGGCCTCCGGGGGGCCAGAGGGAACATTTTCACTGTGCCCAAGGTTCAGGAAATTACATATTTAATTTGAAAAGTTTTATTCAAATATCTACATATTTAGCTCCTCTAAATTTCAACATGAGTAGCTGTGACCCAAAATTGGTTTAATATAGGTAATAGTAACTCACAGTTTTCATTATCCATAGACTACCAGAAGGTCTTTTTTTGTCTTTAGAATTTTCAAAACTTTCACCATCAAATTTTGAAGGCATAAGCTCCATTAATTTTTAAGAGAAAAATATAAAAAAGTTCAGATTGGTTTACCATATTTTTAAAAAAATCAAAGGAAATAAATATTTATATCCATATAATAAGGATTTAAGTTGACATTGGAACTTTAAAATAGAATATGAAAAAAGCATTATACATGAACACTTAAAACAAAATAGCAATATCTAGCAATTAGATTGAAATTTTAAAATAAAAAGTAAAATTCAGACAAAATCATAAAAATCAATGTAATAATTTAATATAAATCCCTAAATATTTGCATATTCATTTGATCATGTAATAATATATTGTAAATTTATATTTTTATAAATGAAATATTATTATTTTTTTAAATCACATATTTAATTTGAAAAGTTTTATTCAAATATCTACATATTTAGCTGCTATGCTTGCAAAAATAAACCTCAACCAGTCATAATAAAATGGTATGAATTAATGAATCCATTTTTTTTATATCATTGATAAAGTTCTTACTCTATCCTTCTCAGGAGGAGTCTTTAAAATAAAATTGTTTGATGGATTATCGTTATTAAAAAACCTTTTTTTAAAAAAAAAAACCTTTGATCTATTGATATTTATGTGATATTTCAGTCCATGCCCAAACTATGTATTGTGTTGTCTCAAATTATAAATACCATGAGGTATTATACATTTTCAAGGAAAAAACAATAATGTCAAACTCTTTTGGATTCTACTGATCTGTGTACCATAACTCTCAAACTATAACTACTACTTTTGCTCTAAGGGCTCCATGAAAAAATTACAAAATTAGTCAAGATGCTTCGAAACAAAATTGGGAGTCTCTGCTGTAAATAAATGTCAATAAATAGATTTAATCAAACATGATAGCATCTCATTCTATTTTGAGGTTGCTTAATGTCTAGAATGTAATGACCAATATAATTAAATCAAAACAATTGATTTACAGTTATTATTCCAGACCATGTCCATATTTTCTAATATAACATTTTATCACCTATTTTTGAAGTGGAGTTTTTTCTACGAAAACTTAAGTAGAGTAGAATTTTATTGAGGTCAGTGATCATGATATAATATAGCTCAATACTACATATAGATCACATGTCTATTATGATTAATACATCTATACACATATATATCCTTCTGACTAGGCATATTTTTTTGGTTGATCATTCATGAGATTCAGTATCAAAATCAATCAATGTACCAGCATAGCCCAATTTGTCTTTTATTGCATGTAAAAGACTTTCTTTCTCTGTATGTTGATTTCTAAATAAATCCATAGAAGTAAGCAGGTAGGTATTCAGTAATTGTTCAGTCTGTATAAATTTCACCATCATTTTAGCCATTGTCTATCCACTGCAGGATGAAGGTCTCTTCCGCGTGTTTCCAATATGGTCCTGAGCTTTCTTTTACCAATTGCACCCACAATATTTGATGATGTCATTAATCCATCTTGTTTTAGATCTCTTTCATGGAAGCTTTTTATCAAGTTGGATCCATTCTGTGACTGCCTTGGTCTCCCTCCTATGAGTTCTCCTTTCTATGTGACTAACCCATTTCCATTTCAATTCTTTTACTCTCTTGAGGATATTATATACTTTCATTTGTTCTCTAATACATGTGCAAATCTTTCTATCTTGTCTTGCAATGCCAAGCATGTATCTTTCCATGGTTATTTCTGCCAACCACATTTAACATGCTGTTCCATTTCCCTTATAGTATCACCTACCATTGAGATCCATTGGCCAAGGTATATGTAGTGGTCTACTATGATTATTTTTCTCTAGACATAACATTTTTTTTGTTGAATTTCTTAACATAACCTGGCTCTTCTTCAGGTTTATTTTTAAGCCAATTGATTCTCCTGCTTTGTGCAACTCTTTTATAAGTCTTTGTAGCTCTTCTGGGTCTTAAGAGAAGAGAACAACATAAGCTGAAAGTCTTACATGATTTAAATATGTGCCATTAATTTTTATTCGATCTTTTGCCCAATCTAGTTTGAGAAATACTTCTTCAAGGCAGGCTGTGAAAAGGATACATGATATTATATTGCCTTATTGTTACTACCACTTTAAGATCATTAATGCAAATCATCACTGATGATTAGCAATGTCTACACCTTGGTTGAGCAATGCATTAATTATGGATTACTAGAATACTGAGTCAAATGCCTTTTTGTAGTCAATGAAAACCATGCACATATGCATGGTGTACTCACTGTGCCTTTCAATGACTTGCTGAAAAACCTAGGTGTGCTGTAGCCATTTCTGAACTCTGCCTGCTTCTTTGGCTATGCATAGTTTAATATTTTCAATTCTTTTTGTTATTATCTTGCTTAAAACTTTATGATGACTGAAAGAATATAAATGATAAAATAAATAACCAATTTATGTCCTTATTTTACCTCATGAAATTTTAGAAGACCTCTTGCTATGTAGATTTCCTTTGACTAAAATACCTTATATTGGTCTATCAACATTTCACATTCCAAAGGGAGCAAACTAGATGTTCCTCAATAATTTTATAAAAATTATTGAATTATTTTATGAAAAAATTCTAAATTGTTGATTCACTTGCAGCACATCAGGCAATAAGATAGAAAAGTTACCTCAAATTGCCAAGATAACATTAGCATATAAACATAATTTCTATTATGAACCTGGCATTGTAATACCTTCCAGGATGCATGTAGTTACACCTTGTCATTACCCTGCTTTCAATAGCTTTCAATAAGAAACAAGGAAAGGAAGGAAGGAAGGAAGGAAGGAAGGAAGGAAGGAAGGAAGG